TATCAGAATGCATAAAAATTGTAATGGAGGAAGTATTCTATTTCGTAGCCTTGGTGACTAAGAAACATGGGAATGGATCAGGGTCAGTAACCTTATGGTGAGTAACCATGAGTAACCCGTCCACATCAGCATGACATCAGCATCCTCTCTCTCATCAAAAGCCTTTAATTTTTCCCTCTTTAATCTTTGACGGACGATTTCTCGCTCATTTTAAGTCGAAATTTAATTTTTTTTTGCACAGTTAGATTAGATTAATTGTGCTCTTCAAAATGATATCCACTTTAATATATTTTTCGAACAAAAAAAATTGAGCCATTTTTTACCAGCCTATACCATATGGTATTGACTGGTATTGAAATAAAAGCATACCTATGTTTTGAAAAATGTACCATGGTGGTATAAACAAACCAATACTGTAGGATGGTTGAATACATGATAGTAGAAGTATATTAATTGTAATTTACGACTTTTAACATTGTATACCACACAATACCACCCCATACCAGGGTGGTATTGTGTGGTATTTTTTGGTCCTGTAATTTGTTCACCCAGAAATTTGTAGATCCAATAGATCATGATGAACTCGTCCCTTCTGTGTAAACGTTTTCAAAAACGAATTAAAAACGAAGAAGATACCGTACAATACCACCCCGTACCAGGGTGGTATAGTATGGTATTGTGTGGTATTTTTTGGTCCTGTAATTTGTTCACCCAGAAATTTGTAGATCCAGTAGATCATGATGAACTCGTCCCTGCTGTGCAAACGTTTTCAAAAACGAATTAAAAACGAAGAAGATACCATATGGTATGCAGTTCGTACCGAGAGGCCAGAATTTTTTTTTCCTAAAAAAATATTGAAAATTGATCTCATTTTGTAGAGTACGGTGAATTCGTTCCATCTGTGAAAAAAAAAAATTAAAATCCGAGTTAAAACGAAAAAGATATGAGTCAATTAAGAAAGCTTGTGAAAATAAAAATAGCCTTTAATTCTTCATCCTTAGATCTGGATTTTCTAAATGAAGGGTCCAGATTTGGTTATTGATGGGTGCATAACCCATGGTTATGCACCCTATCTTGAGCCATGAAACATACATAAAGAATCTAAATATTGCATTTCAAACACATCAGAACATTGTCATCCAACCAAACTAATAGAACCTTACTAAACAATCACAAAACAATAAAAGGTAGCTGTCACATCAGCTGATTAATAGTAAAAGGAATTTAGAATTCCATTCATGGGAGAGACAACTCTAATCAGAAAGACATCACAACAGAAAGACGTCCATGCTAAAATAGGCATATGGATCAAACCATAAGAAGGAAAGCAGACTTAAAAAAAAATTAAGGACAGGTTAATAATGCATTAGACTAGATCGCAATCTGCAGTGGAAAACAGACTTCTACTACTGCTCCGAGAGATGTAAATTTTCAAACTTTCTCTCAAAGAAATTGGAGTTCGAGAACTTGAAAACTTTGTTAAAGTATGGTACCTTTATGTAATTGTATCTAGGGTTTATCTAGCAAACCGTATATATAACGTTGTTAACAAAACATAAAAACTAACGAATAAGAAAAGCTTAAAACCTGAGAGGGAGATCCTCTTCGTGGACTAGTGTCTTATAGACGATATCACGTTAAAAAACTCGTGTGTTCCTTTCGTTCTTGCATTCAGATTGGTTATTTGACATGGTATCAGAGCCTGCGATCTGAGATCTCAGCTCGTGTGGATTGTCGACTTTGTTGGCCGTGTACTGGCGTCTTCAGGAATTCCGGCCGAGGGTTTGTTTGTTTGCCGCCTTCTACTTTCGTCAGGTTGGTGCGACCGATTGGTCAGGTCATTGGCTTTTGTCTCTTCGTTATTGCTCCAGCTAGCTTTGTTGTCTTGGTCCTGGATTTTGCTTGTGTTTAGCTTTTGGGTTGTCTCTTCGTGGGGGGTGTATTATTATTTTTTTGCTGTCTTGTGGTTTTCATGGATTCGGGTAAGATGGAATCTGTTACCATCAAATTTGACGGAAAGAAATTTTCGCTCTGGGAATTCCACTTCCGGAACTTCATCGAGGGGAAACATTTGTTGCCGATTCTGAATGGAGAGTCTCCTTGACCTGGTACTACAGCGGCAGCAAAAGATATCACGGATTGGGCAGCTGGGAATGTCTAGATCATCACTTGGTTGCTTGGCTTCGGTGGATATGGTGACCACTATGAGCTTGAGACGCTTTACTATTGCTCATGAGATGTGGCGCCATATCATGACAACTTATTCTCAGGTGAACACATCTCGTCAGTTTCAGCTCGAGGTCAAGATCTCTCGCTATACCTAGGGGAATCGCGACATTCAAACCTTCTATCCGGCATTGGTTTCGCTATGGATTGAATATGATTTGTTGGCTGCATCATTATCGGCTGATGCAAATTCGGCTGCTATGATTAATGAGCGCAATCGCTCTCGTCTGCTTCAGTTCTTGATGAAACTGCGTCCTGACTTCGAGCCTATTCGGGCTTTGTTGATCCACTGCAATGTGACTTCGATAGATGAGGCTTTTGCTGAAATGGTTCGTGAAGAAACACACTTCCAGAGTCAGTCCCAGCTTCACAATACTCATGGTTGTTCTGATTCGGCCTTTGTTGTGAGTAGGGGTGGTGCTAATCGTTCCTCGAGGCCTCAGTTTAATCCTAGTAACACGAGTCATCTCATATGCCACTACTGTCATGAGCTGGGGCACATTCGGCCACACTGCCGCAAGAAGAATCATTACACTTACTACAAACTATCAGGACATATTGTGTTGTATTGTGTGAGTCTCTCGAAGAAAGGTGACACGCTAAAACACAACACCAAACTGCGACCAAGTGTAATCGCAGTCCGGAAATGCAGTAACAGGCAAGCTCTATTTGTCAACCCGGGGTCTAGATCTACTGCCTACTCCGTAAATATCTATTATGATTTTAACTAAAAGCAGTAAGAAAGCAGGAAATGGTTGGATTTTCTAAAGCAAGGGAAGAGTCACTCGGGAATGAGTCCCCCTAGCTCCTTAGTTAGGTCACAGTTTTAATTACCCTGGGTTGATTAACTGTTGACTAAACTGCGAAAGATCCGACAGTAGCTTGGAATCTCTTAAGCTGACCAAGCTCCTCAGTCCAACTACCCGGTACAAAGCAGTAAATCGATTAACTCTCGTATAATAAATCTACCACTACCGATTGATGAAGCTCTAACAACCTAATCAGATTCTATCTATCTCAGGTTGTAGCAGAAATCAAGAAAAGATTATAAGACTTCAATTGACTCAATAAATCATGCATCAATCGATTAAAATCAATCAGTATAACAATCCCAAGTCATTACAATCAAGATCCCTAACACATGGAACTAGGGTTCTTCATAACCAAGTTAGAGAAAGTTCTACACCATAGAGAGAGAGAGGAAAACAAAAATCAGAGTAGTCATACTCATAAAGATGAGGAAAATCTGCTCTGGGATGATGATCTTCACTCCTGGGGATGCAATCTGGGCTTCAATGGTGAGAAATCCACTCGAAATATCTCCTAGGGTTTGTTCTTCGCCTTTTCTCTCTCTAAAACTCTGTTTTTGCTCCAAAAATTTGATTCCCTCTACTTTGGCTCGATTCTGCCTCAAAAACCCGATCCTGGGCAAAACACGGTCGAGGGCACGGCCGTGTTTGTCATTTGCCCGTCCGTGCCCTTGCCACGTGTTAAAAACACGCCCGCGTCGGCCAAAACACGGTCGTGCCTAAAGATGGACATGGTCGTGCTTTGCTTCACTTCCGCCCGTGTTTTGGACATCGCAGCAGCTCCCTTCAATCAAGCCTCGGCATAAATAACACGGCCTGGAACACGGTCGTGTTTTCCTTTAGGCTAACCCGTGTTTTGCTTTTCCATCAGTTCAGCTCTCGCACATAAAAACACTGGCGTGCTTGTTAGTGTACACGGCCATGTTCTTCAGGCCTCATGCCCGTGTTTTGCCCCCAGCTCGACCGAATGACCTCCAAACGCCCCGAATCTCGTACTTAGCCATTCCTTTGACGTCTGGGATCTGAAAAATACACGACTACTAGCCGGAAACGGATAAGAACTAAAGGTGCAAACATGTGGAAATACATAGTTATCAAATTCCCCCACACTTAACCGTTTGCTTGTCCTCAAGCAAACCAAGTCAGACACAAGGTAAGCTCAAAACGTTTTAATCAAGCAGGCTTTAGGTACATATCATATCGGCACAAACACGTGAATCATACTGGCTTTTGATCATTAACACATGGACTACCTCAACGACAACCTAGACAACCACCACAGATGACATTCGAGTGCAGCAAAGTCGTGCAAAGGAAGAGTCTCCCTACTGTTTATCAACCAACCTAGTCTTGACTCAACAACTTATTCAAGCCAGTCACTTCATGCACAAAACTCAAGATATCAGAATCAAGACCGAGCAATCTAGGCCCTCACCGGGGTAAAGAGTATAGAGAATATGAGAAAATGAATCGCTCACTCTTGACTAGTGGGCTCAGGATAATTTGATGCAAAAAATGCGCATGCTTATTCTCTCAATCCCTAACGTCTCTTCACCATGAAGGCAGCCTCTAAATATTAGAGTTCACATATTGGGTGTCACCACTAACTAATCCGGAGGTCTTAGACTCAGGTTCAAATGACTGGCTAGGGTCTTGGACATGGGGAAAGGCCTTTTAGGTGGTGGAAGTATTCATAGCACAAGGTTCCACAGTTCCAAACCCAACACAATCACAGTCATTTCTTGAGAGAACCACCACCTCTGCACATTTTTCAAACACATGCCCAATTTTTACGCATTACCTCCAACTCTCACATTATTTTTAGCAGAAACAGCAGAGAACATGCAAAAACCACTCTGTGGAACCTTCTAAGAGATGCAAAATGGTGATTTTCCATTGTAGACCGAAAGAAAGAAAAGTACACGACTCAAAGGGGCTGACTAGGGGGTATGACACACCAAGACAGTCAATTTGGTCGTGGGCTAATCCTATGCCTCCATCATCTTAGCTAGTGACAACGTGAATGCTACACATCATGGAAGAGGGAACTATCGCACAAGAAAGAAACGAGCAGGCTCAAATCTCACATGGCTACCTATATGATCTATCTCCCATTCTGATTCCCTAAACTAGATGCATAAACGACTGTCAAGAACAAGTGATCAATCCAAGTCACAGTTGGTAAGCAAACAGTTGAAAAACTAAACCCCTACACAATTCGACTGCACATCTTAGTCATCATTATAGGCTGTCCTAGTTACAATCAATTTGTCATGCATTAATTCGAAAGCCGTTCGATTCACCAATCAAATCCATAGTGCCAATACGATCAAGCAAACAACAATACTTGGAGCCCTCAAATCTCGAGATTTGGACATCGGACTAGGCTCCAATCACACATATATATGTTCCAATGAATACAAAGAACCCCCCCCCCCCACACACACTTAAATGCCACAGTGTCCGCAATGGAGTCGAGGGAAGGGGAACGATGTTACCGCGAAATGAAGATCAGGAACGGGGACTGGAAGGCAGACCAGTCAATAGCAGGGGACTGGAAGGGGGACCAGTCCAAGGCACAGATCTACAGTCATCAAAAGACACACACTGGGTGAAAGAACCGGAGGTCCATGTCTACAATCCAAAATAACAAAACAGAAAGAAACAACAAAAAACATGGAGTCTCAGTCTGGAAAAGAAATGAAGTACAAAACCAGCCACTCACCACTAGAGCACATCGCCACCATCGCCGGTGGGTGGGGGGGTACTCGTCCTCATACCCTAGTGACGGCACGAAGGGGTAGTGGACCGAGTTCGGGTCCAGGCCTAGGTAAGACATGATATAGTGCTGGCCGGACATAAGACGACGGCCACGGTCCCGCTCACGATCAAGGCGGGGGTGAATGCTCTCCTGGCCGGCCAGAATGCGCTCGTTCTGCTGAGCAATAGCCGCCAACTGGTCAGCAATGGAGGAGGGGCTCGCAGGGGCCAAGGCACGGCGAACAGGACGGCGGGGGACCCACCGCCCCCCAGCAGCGCTCGAATCTTGCTGGTCGTCCCCGGCAGGTTCAGGTGCAGGCGGTCGAGGGAGACCCGCAATCCATGCCAAACGCCCCTCACGCACAAGCATGTGCTGATGTCGGAGGGTGGCCTCACTGAATGGGGTCGCTGCGCGGACCATGGTCATCCCAGTAGTGTCGAACCTGTAGTAGCGGGCCAGGGCGGTGATCACCGGGCCACAGACAAGGTGGTGATCCTGGCCGGCGCAGGCCTTGGTGAATGTACGGGCGAGCACATAGCCCAGCTCGATAGTGTGCTCCGAGCGACCCATCGCGTGCATGAAGTACAGGGTCAGGAGGGTGACCCGGTTGGCCGAGCCCCGGATGGGAGTGTAGGACTGGGTGAGCGTGGTTGAGGATCCGCCACCCCGGACGGAGGAGAGTGGCTTGCGTCTGGCTAGCGATGTACTGCTCATCCGCATAATCTGGTAGGCAGATGCGCTGGAAGTAGGCCTGGTCACCAAATGTGGTGGGATCGATCACCTCCACGATAAAGGGGTGGTCGCTGGGGTGAGGGGAGTTGAGCCTAAGTGCAGTGGCCAACTCCCAGTAACTGATGGAGTGCTCTACCCCGCCGAGTGTAAAGTGGACTACGTCAGCATGGTCGGCCGACCTCTGCTGGGAGTGGGAAAAGGAGGTGTAGAACTCCCAGATGAGCTCCTGGTAGGTCGGCTCGGCGAGTCAGAGAAGGCACCGCCAACCATAGGCGCGAACAGCAGCCTCCATCTGCGGCTCGACGAGGCATGAAGCGCCTCGAACACCCCAAAGTCGAGATGAAGGTGCTCGGCGATATGGCGGGTACGGATGGTCCGTAGCAGGTGGCGTTGCGTGATGCTCAATTGGTCGAGGTAGGCCTCCATGATCCTGCAAAGCAAAAGGATGTACAAATGGCACACAAGCGAACAGGGTCAATGTTAGGCGAGAAACACACCGGGGGCCCTCACATCGAAAGATATGGACAGTGGACTAGGCCCCCGGTGGAACAAACACATAATCCGATCCCAAATATCCACCAATCGGCCATTCACCACATATAGGCCATACAAGCACGCATACAATTCCAACATGCAAATGGTAGGCCGATGAAATGAAGTGTCGGGACAAAAATATAACAAGCACAGAGCGCCATCGGCCTACCAAATCATTCTAAAAGCATGCCACAATCCCAAATTCTTCACCTAAACTCTAGGTATCAATTCTCCAAAATAAAATAAGAGACCATGAAAACACACCAGGAGACGCAAGGAGATACCACAAGGCAGGTGAAGAAAACGGAAAGACACTCCAAAGTTGTCGGAAACCCGCCGGAGACTCGCCGGAGAACTCGCCGCCGGCGACCCAACCTCCGCCAAACAAGCCCAAACTTCTGGGGAATGTGCTCCCCGGCGACAGGAGCGTAGGGGCGGTCGCGGTTTGTGATTTGGAGGTTGGGAGAAGGAGTTGTGGCCGAAAAACTGGTGGAGAAGAGAGAATTGCTGATTTTTCGGCAGGGGGGGCAGCTGGAGGTTTGAAAAAATGAAGTCTGAGGGGGGAAGAGCCAAAAATCGAGTTTTATAGGGGGGAGAAGAAAACACGGGCGGGCAGAAACACTACCGTGTTTCCCATGTTCCGCCCCCGTATTTTTTAGACCGGGCTGGGTCCAAAACACGGCCGTGTTTTCGAACCCTAGTGCCCGTGTTTTTTATGGCGAAAGGTCAAAATACCCAGACACAGATGAAAACAAACCGCCCAAGGCACGAAATACTTTCCAGACAGACTCCAGACAGACTCAAAGACTCAAAACCCGACAAAAGTGAAAAGGAAAAAAGGACAGAAATGCAAACCGTGGTGGGGTTGCCTCCCCACAAGCGCTTCTTTACTGTCTTTTAGCTGGACGCCAGTAGATGAACTAAGGGTCCTCGAGCTTGATCAGCAGCTCTGCGCGCTCGACAGCACCTCCCAAGTACAACTTTAGGAGGTTGCCATTCACCTTGAATGGCTCAGTTTGAGCATTGCTGATCTCCACCGCCCCGTGCGGGAATACTTGGGTGACCGTGAAGGGTCCCGACCACCTCGAAAGTAGTTTGCCCGGGAAGAGTTTCAGGCATGCATTGAAGAGCAGAACATGATCACCTACCTGAAACTCCTTTGGGCCCCTCAATCGAGCGTCGTCGAGACGCTTGCTTCGCTCTTTGTAGAGTAGGGTGTTCTCATAGGCGTGGTAACGCCATTCCTCCAACTCCAGCAGCTGCAACTTATGTTCAGTACCTGCAATACTCAAATCCAGGTTTAGCAGTTTAAGGGCCCAAAAGGCCTTGTGCTCTAACTCTACTGGCAAATGACTCTGACACGACCCGATCCTTTTTGAAAATCAAACCACAACCCGGTTACTCCGGAGCAACCCAAACAAATTTTTAAAATAAAATAAACAAACTGAGCTCATTTAAGAATTTTTAACGAAAAGCCCCAACACTTGGCCAAAATTCTCAATCTAAAACACTTACAACGACATAACACAGAATCACAGTTTATACTAATAACCATGGAACAGAATGATTAACTAATCTAACTTGACTCCTCACAAGCTTTCCGATATCGCGTCGACGCTGGTATTGCTGCTCGCCTCGCCCTGCTTCTTCTCGTGATCCACTTCTGCTAGACTATCCTCAACCTGGTGAGTGAGAAGGAGTCAGTCTCGTCGTTACTTCCTAAGGTCTTTGCCCTAGGCAAAGTACTCCTTACTAAACACATTATTAGGGGAAAACCTTCCTTAGACGAAAGTCATTCTCACTTCCATCCTTTAAACTTTACTATCAAACAGCCTAAAGAGATCTCTACTCTTGTCTTATCTTTAGAATTCCCTTACTTATGTTCTTAATAACTCCTTTCAACTTTAACTCATAGAGGTTCTCAACTTTTATCCTTAACTCAAACACGAAACACTAGGACCACCGTGTTACGTCTCGCCGTCCGGTGTCCTACCATAGTATGCAAACCGCGTTACGTCTCGCCGTCCGGTTGCATACCCAAACTCAGCAATGGCACTGCGTTACGTCTCGCTGTCCAGTCCATGCCCGTCAACTACTGCGTTACGTCTCGCCGTCCAGTAGTGACCCCAACATACTCAATCAACTGCTGCGTTACGTCTCGCCGTCCAGCAGTGACCTGACCATCTACCGCGTCCAGTAGTGGCCCAACCGCCCGGGAGTTCCTCATACCATCAATCCATACAACATCACATACATTCATACATAGCACAACGCGTGCCTCCACCCTTACAGGCGGTGGGATGCCTCACCCACATATCGCGCATACTAGAAAAATTAACTAAAATAACAACTTGAGCGAAAAGCATAAACTAAAAGACCTACGACAGAGACTTTACCCCATTTACACTCACCTTATTTTACGCGAAGAACTGATTTGAATTAACCATCATACCAAGATCGAAAATCGCCATCGTTTCCCATTTCCATGCTCACCCGGCGACGTTGTCTTTTGCTGCCTGTACCGCTATGGGACTAGAGGCTTCTTGCTTTAAGGATGGGTCACCGCCACCAACTAATCCATCAACTCAACTTCCGGAACTGCCGCCTGCCGCTCGGATCAAAAGCTGACCACTTTCTCCTTCACCATCGACTTTAGTCGCTCTCCCCAGCCGTCACCAATCCAACTCTATTTTCACCTTCTTCGTTCCCCTCCCTTTAATCTTCCTTCCTCTCTAATATCGGCCATTCCTTATCGTCAACTTTTGGAGAACTGGGAATCACGGTTGGTCGAGGGAATAGGGAAGGGCTTGGGCCGGTCGAGAGGAGCACTCGTCCTCCTCTTTAATTTATCTTTTTCTTTTTTTTTTTTTGATAATGTTGACATCCATTAGAAAAATTCAAGAAATAAAAAAAACAGAAACAAGAGAAACAGGCCGGCAGACATCGGCCCAAGTCTCCACACACAGAAACATCAAACGCAGCTAACTGCCTGCAAAGATCACAAAGGGGAAAGAAAAAGAAAAGGCAAAAAACAGCAGCAGCAGCCCTGGGGAGTAGCAAGAAACAGAAATAAACAAAGAGCTCAAGCCAAACAAAGCAGTCATGAACGGCGACGAACTTAGTCCCTGACCCCCAAAGTTCTTCTCTTTAAAACTCTAAGCCATTGTTCTGCCACTGCCAAATCAACTTTGCTAGCAGAAGTCAGCCATTGAACGATTAAGCTGCCAATCTTGAACGCGATGACGACTTCTGAATTGGCTGATCCATCAAAAGTCCTATGATTCCTTTCCTTCCATAAACTCCAACACAAGGCATGGACAAGAACCATGGTGCACCATTCTCTCGGGTTTTCAGGCTTCCTTGTCGGCCAGTTATTGATCACTTGCGTTATGTCTCCAGGACTTCGGGCCGAGAAAACAAAGGCACTCAGGATAGTCCAAACTCTAGATGCGAAGCTGCAGTGAAGGAACAGATGGTTTGCGTCTTCTTCACTAGCCGCGCACATGACGCACATGCTGGGGAAACACCAGCCTCGCTTCTTTAAAGAGTCGTGAGTGAGTATCTTTCGCTGATGGACAATCCACAAGAAGGTGCAGACCTTTGACGGAATCCACGCCTGCCAAATCATCTTGAACGGGTAGTCTTCCGCTTCAGTGTATCTTTCCTTTGCAAGGCAGGTGTACATGGAGTGAACGCTAAACTTGTCTGCGGGTTGCCATACCACCGAATCTTGGCCTGCAGAGAAAAAAGATGGTCCAAAAGTATTAAGTGAATCAAAAAAACACTCCCTCTTCCTTGTGCTGCTTTGCCTAGGAACCGGCTCGGGGTTTTCTTCTTGCGGCGCTGCTGGGGAAATTTGATGGGGGAAAGGGTTTTGCGGCGGGGAGGGATTTTTTGCTGGGGAAATTGATGGGGGAGACGTGGGGGAAGGGGTTTTCTTTGGGGCCGCCCAGCCCCTTGGCCCCTCTTATTATTATTTTTTTTATATAATTATAGTAATAATAATAATAATAGTTATTATTATTATTATTCCTAATCAGCGGTTGTAACCTTTAGTACTTAACCGTCAATCCAACCGATCACGTATTAAGGTCGAACCTAACTCTAAAGTATCGGGGTGTTACCCATTTGACTGATCCACCGCTGATGGGGTTTTTGTAGACTGTCCTATATGCCCAAAGAGCATCATTGAGCTTGGTGGACCAATCCTTGCGAGATTGATCCACCGTCTTTTCAATTATTATTTTAAGCTCCCGGTTCGTCAGCTCTGCTTGCCCATTTGACTGGGGATGGTAAGCCACCGACACCTGATGCTTAACACCATAGCTTCAGAGGAGTTTAGTGAATTGCCCTTGAAAATGGGTTCCTCTATCACTAATGATGGCGCGAGGTGTCCCGAACCGGGAGAACAG